GCTGGTGGTGTTGCTGCTCGTGCTGGTACTGTTGCTAGTGATGCTGTTGCTGCTGTTTCTGCTGCTGCAGTGCATGCTCACCTCTATCGGGGTGCCGAGGACCTGGCAGTCGTACTTTTTCAGAACGCCCGCCCGGTGCAGCTCAACGACACAGTTGAGTGCTGTCTGCAGCAGCAGCAGCAGCAGCAGCAGCAGCAGCAGCAGCAGCAGGAGCAGCAGTAAGAACATGCGGAGCAGCAGCAAACAAGGACACAGACACAGCAGAAGCAGCAGCAGAAACAGCAGCAACAGAAACAGCAGCAACAGAACGAGCAGCACCAGCAACAGCAAAAACAGCAGCAGCAGCAGCAACGGCACAAACTGCAGCAGTGGAGCAAGCAGCAACAGCAGCAGCAACAGCAGCAGCAGCAGCAGCAGCAGCACTAACCTGTCCCCCGAAGGAGCAGAGGATCCCCTGGGGTCTTTCCTTTTCTATCACCTCCGTCACAAACTGCGGCGTCACCGGCACAAAGTACACCTGCAGCAGCAGCAGCAGCAGCAGCAGCAGCAGCAGCAACAGCAGCAGCAGCAACAGCAGCATCATCCTTTGCAGCAACCTCCTTCTTCTTTTTCTTCACAGCAGCAGCAGCAGCAGCATTCGCATCCTCCTTCTTCCTTTTCCTTTTCTCCACAGCAACATCAGCAGCACCAGCAACAGCACCAACACCAGCAGCAGCAACAGCAGCAGCAGCAACAGCAGCAGCAGCAGCAGCAACAGCAGCAACAGCACCAACAGCAGCAGCAGCAGCACCAACAGCAGCAGCAGCAACAGCAGCAGCAGCAGCAGCAGCAGCAGCAGCATACTCTATGCGCCATTTGCTTCGACGTTTGTACAGTGGCGATGTTTGGGTTGACGAGCAGCACGAATACGTTGTGCTCTTTCAGGGCCTTTATAGCCTGGCTCCCAGAGTAGTCAAATTCTCCCGCTTGGCCTATGCTTAGCCCCCCGCTGCCTGCAGCAGCAGCAGCAGCAGCAGCAGCAGCAGCAGCAGCAGGAGGGGGAGGAGGAGGGAGGGCAGCAGCAGAAAGAACGGTCCAGGAACAGCAACAGCAGCAGAAACAGCAGCAAACGCAAGTACACACGCAGAGGTGCAGCAGCAGCAGTTGCAGCAGCAGCAATTGCAGCAGCAGCAGTTGCAGCAGCAGCAATTGCAGCAGCAGCAACAGCAGCAGCAGCAATAGCAGCAGCAGGCGGCAAAGAGAAGAAATTGCAGCAGAAGAGCAGCAGCAGGAGAAACGGGAGCAGGACAGCAA